CAAAGGCACCAATCGACTCATCGTTGCTATCGCCAACCACTTGGCGCACGAAGCTTTTTGCCGGGGGATTTTGAAGACGAAAGAGCCTCAGTTCGCCTGAAAGCGTTTCATACTAAGAGGATTCGGAGACGGTTTACCTTCGAGCTAGCTCGTTTTCTGTCGATGCGAACTCGCGATGTGTTCAAACGTCATGGGCTGCTGATCGACCAACTTCCACCAGGGCCAATCGGTTGGGATCTCTGCGACAACGATAGTAATGAGGGTAATTCTTTTGGGAGTGACGAAGACGAAGGAAAGGGAAAGGGGAGAAAGGAGGATGACGACGATGGAGCAGAAAAACATGGAGGAGTGGAAGAGAGCAAAGGGTTTGAGCCAGATGACCTTCCCCACAACAAGAAACGTAGGGCTAGGGAAGAACTGCCCAGAGATTCTTCTTGTCGAAATGAGGATCAGAATGATGGTAGCGAAAACAAGGAGGACACTGGTGAAAGTACTCCTAAACGAACTCGAGTACTAGGTAATAGGCCTTGGTAGACGCGTGCATTTTCGTCTGTTGCTGCTGTTTCTGTTTTTAATCCGAAGGATAGATTGGCCTCCCCCATGCTGCCCCCTCACGGGGTCCCAGTTCATGGTAGATAGGAGTGTTTTGTGTTTTCAACCGCACTAAGACTGACGTCTTTTCATTGGTCAGCCGGTTAGCGCGGTCGATGCTAATAATAAAAAAACACACACACGCACACATCGCCTGGGCAGCCGTGGTGTATTTGATGTCTCAATCGTGGGCCGTTCGTTAATTTCCTTTACCATCCGAAATTCTGGGCGACTGCCGTACAACTTGTGCACTCGTAACTGACCGAACAGCCTTTCGAACCGGTAGGCAAATATTCACTTTTTTTTACGTGTGTCCAGCTCTTCTCGACCCGGCAGTACAGGCTAACTATCACCATCCTCCACGTGTGCGTATGAGCCCTTGCATACATCGCACGGGCAGGGCAGAAACGTCCTCTTTCTTTGCTTAGGGAACAGACTTTGTCCGACTCTGGACGCCGCAAGCTCTGGTCCACTTAACATTTTTCGCCGGTTCAACGTCGGGCTGGGGCGCTGAACCTTTCGCCTTATGTCCACGGCGATTCCCAGGGTGTTCAGCAGGGTATGCACCCTTGTGGTGTCCGCATTCGATGCAGGCCCTGAACTGCGGCAACGCCGCCCGCGCCGCCCCCGCCGCCCCCGCCCCAGGCCCAGCCGAGATCGGCGACCCCTCTACCGGGTCACCTCCCGCCCCGGAGCCCCGTACAACCACGCCATCCCGCTGCCTGCTCCCGGAAAGACCCTGTAGCTTAGCAGAACTTTGCCAGTGACGAAGGGCGGCCTCCACGGTGGCGTCGGACACCACGTGACCTACCGCCACGCAGGCGGAATGGCTGGCGTTGTAGAGGCGCACCTGTAGTACGCGCAGAGGGCAAAAGAACGAGGGCAAGCGTTGTTGCTTGGGTTTCAGCACAAATTTTGAACCTGCCATGATCTGTTGTTGTCGGTCCACATCAAAGTACGGCCGATACCACAATGCGTAGGCGCTCACCTTCAAGCCGACAGCCGGGTCGAACGGTGAAGAAGGCACGGACGTGATCGGGTCCTTGTTCGTGTGGATGGCCTCGTAAAAGAGTGCCGAGGCAACGGCGTCCCTGATGGCGCAGTCTCGCTGTTCAACGGAGAGTTGAGCGCTCCCCCAACGGGAGCATCGGACGGTATCCTTCGGCAGCTGCCTCCCCAGGAGGCACGCCGTCAAGCCGGCGAGTGTTTGAGACGATGTCACCACCAACTTGGACACGGCGAGGACACGCAGGCCCACCGTGCTCGCCATTTTCACGCCATAGTCGTTGAGCATATGCGTGGCATCCGTGTTGATGGCAACACCAGCCTGCACAGAGGAAACATCGAGTCGCCGAGTCGGCATTCAAATAGTATCATGAAGAAGACGCTCACAAGACGGATGCTAAAATACGCCGTACCAACCTTTCAAGAGCAGTACTTGCATGAAATACAACATCTATCGCATTCAACCCTCACGCGCATGTGCTGTTGCTGTTGTCTCACCTTGATGATGCTGGGGTCCTCGAGAAGAGCCTTCAGGGGAGCGGGAAATGTTTCCTTCGTAAAACCAGAGTTCCCTCTCTGCAGGTGGAAGAGGAACGACGGCACCCTCAAAGCCGCAATCTGGAAGGTCGCTAAAGGTTCCCGCCCACGAGGTGAAAACTGCCACTCTGCGTCCGCTCCGCACATCATCTTTCCCTCCACTCGATATTTGGCTGATGCTCTGACGGGAGCCGCAGGCAGCGGCTACCGCCTCCGGGTCGTACATGATGGCAGGGGTGAACTCCATATCCAGCTGTGGCAGGAGCTCCAACTGAACTCCGGCGTCCACCTCGTCTTCCAGATAAAGACTGATCCCCGTTACCTCCTCAATCTCGCGTAATATGCGTTGCAGCAGTTGAAGGTCATCACAGCAGTCATCTGACAAAGTGAAGCGTCACGCAACGGGACCGGAAAGGATTGAGGAGACAATACTGCAAAGTCACTGCGAAAATAGCAGGCCTGACACCGGTCTACAACCTCGAAAAGCGAAGCAACTCTACAATCATTTCGCAAATTACCTGTGTTCCACAGAGTAGGAACCTTGAAGCCATTGCGAACGAATCGCATGAAAAAAAGCTTCAACTCCTCCGCCAGCTCGCTCAAGGCACCGGTCTTCATCGGACGCTGCCAGACCACCTTCAAATAAGAACACACATGTGTAACAACGAAATGTTTTTCGGGTCATCAGAATGAGCGTACCATACTACGAGAATAATTTGCCAGTGATTGCTCCAGAAAACATGGCACCAACACGAAGGGTTTGGGGATGGTTGAACGAAACAGAGGCAGGAGAAATTTTCACCTGCTCACATTCGTTGAAGACTGTGAAGAAGCCGTACACTGGTCTTGTGCGCTCCTCGCCCGCCTTTGCCCCGAGCCGGATGATCTTCGCAAACTTAAACGAAGAATCCCCACCCAGAATGTCTCCGTCCCAGCGCTGCATCAAGCGGTGGTGATACTCCTCCAGGGTCCAATCCACGCTATCCACCTCCAGCACGGGGAGTTTCGAGAAATACAACCGCCTCACGTCCCGCAAATAGTGCTCCGACGGGACCGCACCGCCGTACTTTGTCGAGTCATCAAAGCTGCCGAACCTCTCCGGAATTTTGGCGAGGTTGGCCGAGCGGAAGATGCCCGAGCTGGTCCGCCGGGTGCTGACCAGAGAGGTGTACTTCAGCTGGTCCACCATGAACTTGGTCGTATGCGCCTGCAACAGCATTGCGAGGGCGACACGTTTTCGTTGTAGCACGGGTCGGCGCTTATGAGATTCGACGTTTCCCGCAGCAACGTTTGCGGTACCATCCGCAAATGTTTTGAACAGGCTAGGAAAGCCAAGACCAGACCAACCCGTTATCTTAAGACGCTGCAGATGAGACACTGCATATTCACCTGACGAATGTTCTTGGCAGCAGCGGAGAAGCCCTTCCCATGCACCAAATCATCTGCAAGCCGGTCCACCATGCAAATCTCAATGCCCGATCGCTTGGTGAGAAGGAAAGGGAACTCCTTGGAGATGTACTCCGGGAGACGCCGGAGGCACCCAGCATCCCACGCGTTGAAGCTCGTCTTGCGCTTTTCCGCCTCCTGCTTGCCTTTATTGAACTCCGCGCACTTCGCACACTTGTACCTGCACGTGCATGGGAGAAAACATACACCACGAGTAATATCGTCGGAAAACCACAACACGACTCCAATCTACCAGAAACCCAGAATTCGTCGGATGCCACGAAAACATGACTGCTTAAGTTTATCGAGCGAACACTCTTCTTCGTATGCTGAACTTACCGAAACCCCGTCACGCACACCACGTTGTGCTCCATGAACACCCGGCGTGGCCCCTTAGGGTTCCAGCCATCAGGTGCGCCCTTGCCCCCACATCCTGGACAAGGAACTGCCTGGAGCTCTGGGAACAAGAACTCCGGTATCCATACCAATACCGCCTTCTGATAAAACCGGTCGAGTTTCGGTAGGTCTGGGCTCGCGCAAATGTGAGGTAGATATGTCAGAACATCAGGCACGCGAGACAAAACAAATAGCCTACCGGGGGATGGGATGTATTTTCCCTGGACGATTTAATCTGAAAAGAAAGGTTGATAGGCAGCTATTTTACCCCCCCCCAAAAAAAAACAACTCCTCTGGCGTACCTGGTGATCGCTGAAAAGTGGCACACTTCCGACGCACGAGCGGGTTGTCAAACGGGAACCGGCCTTTCACACCACCTCCCTCGTGGGTGATACTC